TTAGCACAACTTTCTCATTTGCAGGGTGTGAATAGGGCATTCCCTTTCGTTTCAAGTGATGAAGCTGATGATGTAATTCAGGCCCATACACCGGTATTGTTTCAGCTGGTAAGCATGGCAACTCATTCCATTGTTGGATAAGTTGGATGAGTATCTGATATGGCTTAATATATTATATCATCTTAATATTTGCTTGGAATGTGCAGGTTCATTCGAAGAACTTTAATGTTGGAGTTCAAGCTCTCATGCTCCTAGATAAGATCTCAGCAAAAAATCACATTGTTAGTGATCGGTTTTATCGTGCCTTGTATGCAAAACTTCTACTACCAGCTGCAATGAATTCTTCCAAAGTACGTGGAAACCTTCATATTTATATTCTTCTTCTTTCTGGTTTAATCTAAGAGCTTTAATAGGGCAAACATACACTGCAAGAATTTTCTTCACCTCACCTTCTTGGTGCTTTTTATCAAATACAATTACTAATTCTCAAAATAAAAGAAATAGAAAGAAGATTCCCTTTCCCTCTCGAACCAGAAAAAGGTTCATGTTTAATTACGTCTTTCCTATTTTTGGAAATGTTTTTTTTAAATGGTCCAGGGTAATAGAAGTTTGAGCTATCTTCAATTAATACGTTGATTAGTTTTTTTCTGGTGGGTGGTGAGGGGGAAGAAAGAGAGTGGTAGATTAACCTTTGTGTTGACATTCTTGAGGTCAAGATCAATATGGTGACACACTTGTTTCTAGTACATCTTCTTTTGTAATCTATGGTTTCTAGTCTTGTCTGTTGTAAGCTTTAGATGCACACTTGATTTGCAATTTTATGCCAGCAAAGGCATATGGGATACTTAGAGATTTGATGTGATTAATGATTATAATTAGGATTATGGCATTGCTGATGTTTAAGTTTGATTGGTTGAAGCTTCATCTGCTCTTCTTGCCTGCGTGATGATCCTTCAGCTCATTACCCGTGGCAATTGAGAAGTGGATTTCTTGTTTGCCCATCTCAAGGGGAACTTTGACATCTCTTTTTAGTTGTCCAGCAGTGAATGTTGATTGTAACAGTAAAATAAGAGAAACCAGGGAAGATTTAGAGAATTTGTTAAGACTAATATTTTCTCACACATTAAGAATAACTATCTTTCCGAAATTGACACGTAACTAGACATCTATCAGTAATGAATGTGCTTTTTCATTACTAGGTAACTTTTGCAAAAAAAAAAATACCATGGTTTAGAAATACCTCATTTTCAAAACAATATCAAGCAGAATGGGTAACTGAGAATAGAAAATTGAAAATTCTGAGAGCCCGAGCAACGAAAGTTCTGGTGAAGCATCCATGATGTTTTTTTTGCTAGATATTCTTTGAAGAGTCATGAATTTAAGAACCAAGATAGTCATTGCAGCACAAATGCTTCAATTTGTTGAGCAAATAAGCCCCAACACCAGAAAATCTGTCTTAAAGAATGAAGATACGAAGCAACTGTAAACCATGTTATGATGTATAAAGTGAGCTACAAAAGTTGACTTTCCCTGTATTTTATAGCTACATATATATTGCTATTTCTGTAACTGATTTTGAGAAGGTTAAGCTGTGAAGAATTAGATCATCCCATATTTTTTCTTAAAAAAAGTTTTAACAGACTTGTAACTTAGACATTTTTTTCTAATACATCCACCGTTAGTTGTTACTTCTGCTGCAACCTCCTCTTGCTGAATATGGAAAACATGTGGAAGAGTTTTTTTTGTCGTGGGCTAAATTTTGTCACAATTTATCACTTCTTGGCAATGCTGGTTAGACCTGTACTCATTCAATTGTGACCAGTTGTGCTTTAGTTTGGATCTAACCCTTGCATTACTTGCTGACTTAGTCTATGCCCGATAATTGTCTGATGCATGTTCTGGTCGTATCTGCAGGAGGAACTGTTTATTGGACTCCTACTTAGGGCTATGAAAAATGATGTAAATGTGAAGCGAATTGCTGCATTCTCGAAGCGTTTGTTGCAGGTTTGTGCGAGGCGTAAATTTGTTATTATGTGAAACCTAACATAGTTAGTAATATATGAGTACAGTACACTGAGGTGAGGTGTATTTAGGCAACTTTTTTGTCAATTATTCTCCTGCAAGTATACAAGTTTAGGCTTCCATTAGTCTTATATAAATTTCATGGTTTACTGTTAAATAGCTATTCCCAAGTCACTGAAGAACTACACTAATTCAAACATAGTTTAGGGAAAAAGAAGCTACTTGAAGCTGTATATTACATTCATTCTTACGTTCATCAAGGAACCGTACTCTTTGGCTATGTGCTTGATATTCCATTGAGTTTCGAAAAACCAGAGACTGTTATTGCCCTCTTGAGGATTTGTCTTTTTCCTTTCAAATTAACATTGATTGTCTGGTATTAACAGGTTGCAATTCTGCAGCAGCTTCAAAAAACCACATACTTTTATTGCCCTCTTGAGAATTTGTTTTTCTTTCTTCAAATTAACATTGATTGTCTGGTATTAACAGGTTGCAATTCAGCAGCAGCCTCAGTACGCATGTGGGTGTCTGTTTCTCCTGTCTGAGGTCCTTAAATCAAAACCAACTCTCTGGTAGGGTTGCTAGGAACACTATCCATTGACTAAGTTTATGACATGGCTAAAGGATTTGTTTGCAATGTATTTGTTTCAACTTTTTCATGCAGGAACATGATGCTCCAGAGTGAGTCTGTTGATGAAGACCTTGAGCATTTTGAAGATATTACAGAAGAAGATGACAATCAACCCAATCCACCAAATCAAACAGATAATGCAAGTGAAGTTGCTCAAGAAGCCAAGCACTTAGAAAATGGCAATCATTCTCTGCCGGAAGAAGGTAATTCTAGTTGTGAGTCTGATGATGATTCAGTCCAAGCTGAGGAGTCGCCTGCTAGAGGTGATTTAGATGAACCAAATGATCCTAGATTGATGTCTGGATTCAACAAACTTCTACCTGAAGGTTCAAATGATAAGCTCTTATTGCCTGGAGGATATGATACACGGCACAGAGAACCTTCATTCTGGTACTGTTATTGTCTTCTTTCTGGCCTTAAAATGCTTATTAAGTCTGCAATGTCACAAACAAACATCAAGACTATCTTGCTTATCTTGCTGCCTTCATTTGAAATGGCTATGATCCCTTGTTTTCCTTGAGCTCGCTCTTCACAAGGGTTTTATAAAAAACACCAATGGTAGAAATATAAGTTTTTTTGTGGCTTCCTCTTTCTACATGACGGGGCTTGATTGGACACTGAAATTTTGGAAAGAAATAGAACATTTTATACCTAAGTGAAAACTATATGGCATACCAAAAATTTCCTTAGTGTCTTTTGGTCTACAACCTGCCATGTCACTTTTATAAGATCGTCTCATTTAGGGTCGTAAGCTAGCCTAGACACCACTATTATCTGCAGAAAAAGAAATAGAATATTTTAACAATTTCTCCTGAGTATACAGAAAATGTAATTTCTTTTATTGACTTTTATGGATCGACAGCAATGCAGATCGTGTAAGCTGGTGGGAGCTGATGGTACTGGCATCGCATGCGCATCCATCAGTTGCAACCATGGCTAGAACCCTTCTTTCAGGAGCTAACATTGTGTACAATGGTAATCCCCTGAATGATCTTTCTCTGACTGCCTTCCTCGACAAATTCATGGAAAAGAAACCGAAACAAAGCACTTGGCACGGTGCTTCTCAGATTGAACCTGCTAAGAAGGTTAGTATTTTCTAGATAACATAGGATATCTATCATGTCTAATATACCACTTCAGACTGGGGCTTTATTAGCTTGTTTCATCACATTTATCTCCTTTTTCTTGCAGCTTGACATGCAAGATCAGCTGATTGGGTCAGAAATTCTCTCCTTAGCTGAAACAGATGTACCACCTGAGGATCTTGTCTTCCATAAATTCTACGTGAATAAGATGAAGTCCTCGAAGAAACCAAAGAAGAAAAAGAAGAAGACAGTAGAAGATGATGCCGCTGAGGAATTTTTGGATGCAGATGGTAGCGATGTTGAAGATGAGATTGATGAAGATGCTGCTGATGAGAGTGAAAATGAGGAAATTGACAGCATGCTAGAGTCCAGTGTGCTTCCCTCGGAAGCTAATGGTGAATATGATTACAGTGATTTGGACGAAGTTGCTAATGAAGACGATGATGAATTGATTGGTGATGTCAGTGATGAGGATATGGATACTCTTTTGGCACATGATGAATCTGACACTAATCTTGGCAGTGATGAAGACAATGATACAGAAAAGGCAAACGAAGATGACGATGATGTACATCAAAGAAAAAATAAAAGAAGGAAAGACAAGCATGTTACCGGAAAATCCCCATTTGCTAGCCTTGACGACTATGAACATTTGCTCAAGGAGGAGAGTCCAAAAGATCCCGCTAAATCAAGAAAGAAGAGAAAGAACTCAAATGAGCATTTGCTCAACGAGGAGACCCCAAAAGAGGATGCAAAAAAGCCCGCTAAATCAAGGAAGAAGAGGAAGAACTCGAATGAACATTTGGTCAAGGAGACCCCAAAAGAGAATGCGGAAAAGCCCACTAAATCAAGAAAGAAGAGGAAGAGTTCAAATTAAGTATTGTTGCTAATTTGCATGAAAGAGTTGCTGATTTTGATATCCTATCCTGACAGATTATCCCGAGATAGGTAAAGGAACTCTTTCAATACCTCAATATTGTCAGCTCTTGTGTTGTAATTTTAGCCGATCATTCTTACTTCTTTTTCCTCTTTTTGTTGTTATGATTAACTCATATTTGCTTTGTCACAGTTCGTGTTATGATAACTTTGCAAAATTCATTGTGCAACCATTATAGAAAAGAAAAAGGAACCAGCCAATGCCATACCATCTCTTCATTTTCTAATATAGCAGGACAAGAGTAGAAGATCAACTATACATCATAGTAGTTGATGAAAATGCAAAATAAAGGTGACACTAGAGAGATACATTTGAACTAAGAGACAGAGACGTAGATTTATGATAACTACTTAATTCATGAAATTGCAACTTTAACAGTCTTAGCCTTAGATGGTGGAGGAAGCTTTTCAACTACAACAGTTAACACCCCATTCTCGCATTTCGCAGTAATAGCAGAAACATTGCAGGTATCGGGGAGCTTGTACTTCCTCATCAATTTGAGGGGTGGCTTCCTCTCCAACCTGACGTACTTGCATCCCTCTTCTTCACTCTCCTCACGCTTCCTCTTACCGTTGCTTCGTATCACCAGCGTGCTCTCATCTTCCACAGTCACCTGTAACACATTCAGTAATTAACTTCTGCTATTACAAACTCAAGCTAGAAAAAAAATGTTATTAATACAAAATTGAAGATGGTACCAACCTGAATGTCAGATTTGGATAAACCAGGAACATCCATATAGAAAATGTACTCTTTTGGGGTATCCAGAATATCCACGGGAATGCTACCCCTGTTTTCACTGCTCTCATTTGACCTAGAAGGAATCACCAGCCTCTCAATGGATTCTGGAAAGAGAAGTTGGCTCACCACATCCACAACAGTGCTCATTTTCACACAAATTATGGCTGATATTTCGGTTCGAATCTGAAGACTGTTTGCAGCTTACTGGAAAATCAAGAGTAGTAGAAATTCTCGACGAAAAATGGTGCAGCAACTTCTTATTTAAATTAGGGAAAATGGTCTCTGGTGAAAGATACTTCTAGTACGTTCTTGCTCTTTCCTATTTTGACACGAAGCATCTAGAACATTTAGGAACTTGCCAGACATACGGACATTTGGCGAACCCTTATCGAGGAAAAGCTCAAAATAATCATTTATTTTTGAGCTTAGATTTAAAGTCATCCTAAATATTTTAAAGACATTAACTCAATCTTGAGATTAAAAAAAAAAAAAATTGTCTTTTTTTTATTTATCAAAAATAACAGTAAAAAGGAACATCAAATTAAAAAATATTTGACTAGTAAATAAGGAAGAAGTATAACTCAATGGCTAAAGCTCAATCCGTCCTATTCCATAGTCATCTCTAAAAATGTACTCCAAAGTTTCGTCGTATTAATATTGGAAAAATTACTCCCCATATGAGATTAAGATGATATATTACATTCTATGAACTATTAATTAATAATTAATAATTAATAATTAATAATATAACAAATTAATTACGAGTGACAGCAGATTCAAATTAATATAATATTAGATTAATATGTCATTTATTCAATGTTCTCTTAATATTTGCACTGAAGTCAAAACTTCTTAAAGAATTTGTTGAAAGATAAAGTAAATTATATAAAATATATAGATCATATAAAATATAGAGATCAAAAAATATTTTTTCATATGGTATATATATATATATATATTAAATTTTAAATACTTTTAATTATATTTCTAACTCCACCACGGTAATCAACTCTCCTTTCACAAGTTAAGAGACTCTCTCGTTGAACATCTTGATTTGTCCAATGTATCAACTATCAAGGCAAAAATATTGAAAACGTACTTTATATATTTATGATAATTCTTGTCCATTTAGAAAATTCAGTATAGTTGACATATTTTTTTGAAGTGACATCATGAAAAATGCTAATACTATTTCCAAATGGCCATCGTTTTGACAAGTTGCAGTTGTATCAGCTAAATAAATTGATGTGAAATTATTGGAGGGAAGAAGAATCTGTTTTTTTTTTTTCCTCAATTATGACCGACGGTTTTATAATACTCCCTAGTTAATGGTCCCAATGAACAGTTTAATGACTTATAAGAAAATAATTCAATGGGTAGATCATAATTCACATCGTAATATTATGTCCCTACTTTTAATGATCATCATTGGTTGCATTCAATTTCAAGTAATATCGTGCAATACATTTACTTCCTCCGTTCACTTTTACTTATCCACTTTCGACTTTGCACGTCTTTTAAGAAAACAATAATTAATATAAATGTTTTATCATAATACTCATATTGATTGATGTGTAGTTTTAAGTCTTGAAAAATATTTTAGAAAATAAGTAATTAATATTAAAATAAAACATGAATTTTCTGTTTATATTTTTTTCTTGATATGCTAAACCATATCTATGTGATCAATGCATTTGTAAAATGATGATAACAAAAACCATCTAAAATTTTCAAATATTACACCAACATGTAAATATAGATTACAATCCATCTTAGCAGCAGGGAATAATGTACCCGGATAAAGAAGGAAATTATAATATACAAAGTTCTTCTCCAAGTGCAGATCTAGCTGAATACAGATCGGATTGAATCATTTTAAGTAGCGCAAAAATACTAGTAATATAATGTACTTTCATTTCACACCGCATAATGACCGTTATTCCAATCCCCTGATTTTTGGACTAACTCGATTGCTCCCACCAACACAAGTAGCGACGACATTAAACATACGTTCCTCAAAAGCTTTAGTCTCATAAGGAATTCTCAAAATACCTTGATTGTGAAATCCATATTCTTCGGCAGATCGTGACAACATCTCCAAAAATTCAGCATCGTAGAGAGCCGTTGTATGTACCATAAACCGCTTTGATTCATTAAGGTTTATTCCAACGGCAACAGGAACATAACCTCTTGGTGTCATAACGGCACCTCCTCCCAGTTTTAGCCGTTTTCCAACCCCAATCAGCTTGCTCGCTTTAATGCCCATCAGAATCCGATTAATTCAGATTTGAAGAAATAATTTCTTTCTTTCTTTCTTGTGTTGTTAGTATAATTTCAACGTACCAGGCCGTGCAAAGTGCCAGTACCTTGTGGGCTTCATTATATTAGGTAAAGGACTAATGACGTTTTACCTGCAGGGATAACGACACTAATTAATAATTACATTAATATTGGTATTAAGAAATTTCTTGGGTAATTTAAAATTATCCCATTATTTTAAGTAGCAATTATATAGAATTATGGGAACAAATGGAATGCCGTAAACACAAAATTGATGTATTAGTATTTAGTCCAAAGTCTAGTATAGAACCAATAGACAACTACCAAACGTTTACTATGACGCCGTCCATGTTGAAAGTATTACTATTTCGACAAATATCTTTTATTTTTTGTACGTCGTGTCTCTTCTGAGTAATTTCTACTCAAGAATAGTAATTTTTATTACTGCTAGCTAACGTACCTAGTTGCAGTTTTTATGTTTATTTTTTCTGAAAAAGACATCTCAACATGTTCGTTTTCTTTATATTTCTGGATATAGTAAGTGTTTTGGACTAGCCGGCTATCTAATCGAGCTCCACACATAATGCTGGATGAGAAAGAAGCCGGTCATTTTAAAGTAATATATAAACATGACTCGTAACTTGATTTTTGCAGATTACTACGCCCTCCAACTTTGAATGTGCACAAGTAGGCAGTTAAACTTGTATAAAATTGAACAAGTAAACACATTTGTTTTACATGGCATAATACACATAGGATGCATGTAGGACATGAAATTTCCATGTATGACAAATGTGTCTATTTGTTCAATTTTATACAAGTTTAAGTGTCTACTTGTGCACACCCAAAGTTAAAGGTTATATATAGTTATCAACTGACACCAAGTTAAATGTCATGTTTATGTATTATGCCCTATTTAAATGATGTACTTAAGTGTAAGATTTTATATTCTAAGACATCGACCTATTTGTTAATAATCAGGCTCTAAATTTAATTATCATACATATTTAATTGAAAAAATTACAAAAATAAAATTAGACAAGAAATTATTGAATTTTATCGAACTCAGGTGTTAGCCTCCGTCAAGATGCCATTTTTGAAGCATTTCCCATTTTACCCATTTGTATTTTTATTTTCATTAAAATAAAGAAAACCAATCATGTACTGATCTAAGTTAAACTCTTGAAAATTTATGAACGATGTTTCAAATTGTTATTTGATTAATATCATTATGTTATATTTTATATTGTTTTGGTATGCATCTTACTTTCTATAGATCCTTACTTAAGATCTTTTGGATTATATATTTTGGATGGGAGTGTAATATTGAAAAAAAGAAATTATAAGCTGTCATCTTATGCATCAAAGAAATTTGGTTAATTAATTAAGTTTGACATTATAGCTCATTAAGTTCCTACTGCGTTGAGGATGCTTGCTAGCCGGCTTATAAACGACCTTAGGTGACTTAAATTCATAAACATTTAATTATTAAATAATAAAAATAGAAAAGTATAAATCATATAATAGGCAAATAAATATTCCCTATAATTTTAGATTTTGTGTAGATCGTATTCATACTGGTTGGTGCACAGTGAGAATATACTCAACTTGGATATTTGAAACCTCTAATTCATGAGTGCCACGTCGACAACCTTGAAGTCACGACGGTTAATCAGTAACCCGTGATAGATGCTCAAGTGGGCCCGGCCTTGATATTACATAAGCATGAGCGACATAATTGTATATTCCCTCAAATTCATCCCTTCATATTATATACTACTCCCTCCTCCCTCCGTCCTTTTTTTATATATCATTCCTTCTTATAAATAGTTGATATATAATACTTGTCATCTCATAAAGAAAAAATTGTATGAAATAACAAACTATTAATGTTATAGTCATAATTTATTTTAATTGTATTCGCAGCAAACATCCCCTTTTTTGTCATCTAATTCGGTATACAATTAGTCATTTTATACATTTCGGTATAAAATGTGTTTGTGTTTGTATAAATTGAGAGAAAAGTGTATATACCAATACAAATATATATATATATATTTTCGTCCTATATATTTATAATTATTTAAATACATAATTTATTATACAAATTACAATGTATAAATGAATTTATACAAAACTAAACAATTTGTATAAAATTGGATGTTTGTAGCGAATAAAACACCATAGCAAACATAAAATTTGCTATGGAACGCAATTATGCGAACTATAGCTATAACATACAAATATGATTTTTATGTTTGCTATATGTGAAAGTTGTTCTTTCATAAAATCAATGCATAAATTACCATATTGTTCCTTTTTTACCCTTGTGAGTTATTAGCCTTGAAAATATACATTTGACCAACTTAGAAAAGCTAAGTAAATGATTCATGTTCATTGGTTAAATTAATTAATCAAAATAAATTAATTCATATTCATTGATTGAAAACTTGAGTTCCAAAAAAATTAAATAAGGGTAGAAGGGTAAAGCTACATCATTTCTTAATGTAAGTGCAAAGTAAAAAAATAACATATAAAAGAGGATTCTTAATGTAAGTGCAAAGTAAAAAAATGACAGAAGACGGAAGGAGTAGTAATATCTTCTTGTGATTAGATAAGAGATCAATTATTTTGACTAATTTTGAAGCCTAAAGATATCATGTAATGTAGACTGGAGGGAGTAGTTCATCTCAGGAATATCAAAATTACCTCATAAAAACATAATCCTCTTTGATATTGTAATACTCTCCATATAATCATCTTATTATATACAGAGAAACAATCACACATATACGCATACTTTACTCATAGGTAGTAATAGAAAATTCGTTGACACAAAACCTATATTGTATAATACGGAAGAACGGCCCAGTGATTGATTGTGAGCAATTAATTATGTAATTTTAGCTCATTTATCAAATTTGAAAAGATTTTATCGCGATTTACTCCAATTAGTTGGTTGATATTTGTATTCTTTTTTATGCGTGACAAATTAAAGTATAATTGCAATTATAATTAGTGAACCCATAATTGAGGAGTTCTATTTAAAGTGATGTTTATCAAAATTAGGAAAAACTACATAAATGGGTCATAAAACTTAAAACAATTACATATTCATACCCTAATTCAAAGTAATTCAAGAAATACATATTCTCTCAAAAAAAGAAAATTACAGCTCATACCCCCATTCATTAAAGCTGATAATTTTCGTTTAATTGATACTAAATCAATATCATATATTGTATTGGTATCATTAAAACTGATAATTTCACTTAATTGATACAAAAATCAGTATATATATATATATATATATATATATATATATATATTTACTGTATTGGTATCATCAGGGTTTCTTGTTCAAAAATTACTCATTAGTCAATGATATTATAAGAGTATATGTATATTGTTATTGTATCATTAATTTTTCTTGTTTAAAAATTACTCATTAGTCAATGATACTATAAGAGTATATATATATTGTTGTGGTATAATTAAGGTTATTTGTTTAGAAATTACACATTAGTCAATGATACTGTAAGAGTGTATGTATTTTGTTGTGATATCATTAAGGTTCCTTGTTTAGAAATTACTCATTAGTCAATGATACTATAAGAGTATATGTATATATTCTTATAATATCATTGACTAATGAGTAATTTATGAACAAGAAACCTTAATGATACCAATACAATATATATATACTAATTTAGTATCAATTAAGCGAAATTCAGCTTTAATGATACCAATACAGTATATGATACTGATTTAGTATCAGTTAAACGAAATTAGTTAGGGGGTATATAGTGTAATTATTTAGTTAGTATGAATTTAAAAGTGTATATGTTTGTAATTATTTTGCTTTTATGGGATATTTGCTTAATTTTCCCTAAAAATTATTATTAGAGGGTCCAAAAATAAGGCCCACAAAATGGTATCCTTAGACATTGTAGTGTTATATATATGACGGGCTCAAAGAAGTCCAAATCCATCTCTAAGGAGGATGAGTAATGCTGCAAGTGTAAGCCCAAATTCATTTTAAACAAGTCCAAATAGAGGGCCTCAATGTTGAGGTTGCCCCTTACAAATACATAGCAAGCCACGTTACGTTGCCTAGCTCGAGGGAATTTCTTCATCTAACCAAATTAAACCATTCATTGTAGTTAAGTATATACTAATATGTATATCATTAGGATATACTCTGCTAGTTCCCCGGGTACCTCTTCCTCCACTATCACACAATTTGGACTCGATCTTTCGTGAACTAGGTTAACGTAAAAAAAAAAAAAAAATGAAAATTATAGATGCTTCAATTAATTATTGGAAAATTCGAGAAAAAAAAAATGGCATTGCATGGTACTTGTTGATTAGGAATGATATTTATGAGAATTCTAGTGCATGTGGCTGAAATTGAAATGCACGTTGATTTTTGTAGAAAAAAGCCTTTGGACCACACGTAGAAACCAACAAATTATTCCTTTACTGAACACAAAGAAGAGGCTAGAGCATCACTGGTTTCCAAAATATATTTATCAAGATCAAATATGGCCAAAAGGAGACTTTTCATATTGTCGGATAAATTATGCATGCCCCATCTAATTAATGCTCTCAATCGATTTCAATTTATGTCCCATGTTTAATTAGACACATAATTTAATTTTAAAAAAATGGTTAGTCTCTTTTTATGAAATTGATTGTCATTTTTCGTCCTTGTTTGAGCATATTTGAAAAAAAAATAGACATGTTTAAACTAAACATTAAGGCAAATGACATGTCTGCTCTTACAATAAAAGTCCGACAAATTGCATGATTTTCAAACAAGTTATATATGGTTTGAGTCTATAAAGAATTTGTGACAACGCCATCATCCTGCACTTGCAAGAATAAGTAGAAAAAGGAGAGAAAATAGAATTTAATTCTTCGTTTTTATAAAAACGAATATAAATGAAGTCGTACATGTTTGTCGTGACTTGTATGTTGTTGACCTTTTTGTTTGTAGCTTTAAAATCATGATAATCTGATATGGTATGTGACTAATCCATGTTGAATATGGTACGTATAAAGTCATATCCGTTTGCCATAATACACATGACACAAATAATCCAGTATAATTCATGCAAGGTAATCAATTTAAATATAAAATAAAATCAACTAATATGAATTGCGTGAGATATAAAAATATTTTTTCCCCGAAAATGTGGGTGATGTGAGCCGTGAGGGACTGGATGCTACAAATTGCGTTACACATGTAAGCTGTGGGGTGCTAATTTGGAGTGTGCAATGAATCCCATCAGTTTGGTCCAAAACAGTAAGTAGCTTCTAGTCATCGATCGTCAAAAATTCTATTATCCATAGTAGTCATAAATAAATGTGTTTTTCCCTCCATTTTATATTAACTTAAGCTTTGAAGTGTTTCACACCCTTTAAGAAAAATAGATTAGGACATAAATTGAACATAATTTTCCATTTTTATCCTTATTAATTATTGTCAAAAATAACTAAACATTAATTATAATAACTAATTTCAATACTAACTTAAAGGGTAAAATTGAAAGAATATTTTAAAAATAGTCTTGAAAATTGAAAACTTAAGTTAATTTGAAAAACAAAAAAAAGCTCAAAGCTTAAATTAATAGTATTAATATGGAATGGAAGGAATATTTACGTCAACCAAACCTTTAGTCTGTACTACTAGAATAGTGTTCTCTGCTAGTTGCACTTTTTAAATTTCTTTATGAATTTTCCAGAACCCCAAGTTGCAACTTTATTGCCAAAAGATAAATAAATACAACTTGCAATGGCTATATGGTAAATAGTTCGAACGCCGTCGACCAATTTGCAATGAGTGGACCCTAACCTTTTTGGGTGTAGGTCCCACTTTACATTCAGCCCACACCAATTATTTATTATTATAAAATAGAGTAGACAACACAAACGTTTCTCATCCTTAAAACAGAGTATAATAATAATAATGCAAAAGGGCGAGGAACAGAGAGATCAAAGAAGCTTCTGGATACAAATATCTCGTACCGTCATTGAATCTAAGCCGTTCATTCCTTAATCTAAGCCACACATTAGTTGGAAGGTGTATTAATGGAAGGCCCGTTTCTGGAGAGTTCTTTTAAGGGAGAGTTGTTCATCTCTCTTCACACTTGTGTTTTCTCTCTCTAACTAACAAAAGTTCCGTGTCTATAGTGCTTTTAATTCTTTGAAGAAAGAAAAAAAATCTAATCACTTTTTGTATTAAAGGGGCTGGAGATTTGTATTTAATTTGTCGACAAGACAGGAAATATTCTGGGGGGTTGATCGGTTTTTGGTGGATATTCAAGTATGGTAGACAAAAGCAATGATTATTATGCAGTTTTGGGATTGAAAAAGGAATGCACTGAAACAGAGCTTAGGAATGCTTATAAGAAACTTGCACTGGTCAGAATTTGAAAATAAATAAATTGAATCTATTCTTCATCATCAAACAGACTCATTTTAGCTTTAATTTGTGTTTTTTTATAGAAATGGCACCCAGATCGCTGTTCAGCATCGGGGAATTCGAAGTTTGTAGATGAAGCAAAGAAGAAATTTCAGGCAATTCAAGAAGCATATTCTGGTACTTATTTTATGCTTTTTTTATTTTGTAACATAATTTGCGCCGTACATATTTAATGTTTTGTCCTGCTAAAAGTAAAAATGAACTGTGTGAATTGGAAATGTATTAATACATTCAATTATTTGCAGTGTTATCGGATGCAAACAAAAGGTTTCTGTACGATGTAGGAGTTTATGACTCTGGTGATGACGACGACGAAAATGTAATAACTTTGTTCTTTTATATATACTCTCATGTTGAAAGTTCTAAATCATGTCGCAAAATGTTCGCTGATACTTAAGTGAAGTTTAATTTTATGACTTTATTGATAAATAAGGAATGTTTTGTGTCATGCTTGTAGCAGGCTGAGTATCTTCATGTTGTTCCATTTGTTTTTACATTTTGAGAGGGCTAAAAATGGTGTTCATGTTGAATCTCAAGAAATGGGATCACATAAGATTATTTCCAAGTACTAGTGTTAATCAAGTATGAACTTTTGAAACATTGAAGAAAAAGGTTGTCTTTTTTTATCCTTTAGGCAAGTCATAGAAGAGGGCTGAACATGGAAGTTTTGGTTTCTTCTAATTATGTCGGTTATTCTATTGAGGATAGCTTATTGTTGTGCTTTTGCTTTCCTTGAGCCGGGAGTCTATTGGGAACATCCTCTCGACGCCAAGGTAGGGGGAGTCTATTGGGAACATTCTCTTGACCTGCCAAGGTAGGGTTAGGGGTATGGTTTGCATACTCTCTACCCTCTGGAGATGCAGACGTCACTTGTGGGACTATATTGGGTATGTTGTTGTTGATTCAATTGACGACGGATAATTAGATCCTGATCTTTATCCAAAAAATACTTGGTTTAACTTGTATGATATTGCTCAAGCTGGTATGGACACCACGGTTGTTCCTAAAAAAGATAAATTGTATATTGCATCAGGCAAATTCTTGTTACAAATTTTGAAGTGGATTTTCTTGTGCAGGGCATGGGTGATTTCCTGAATGAAATGGCAGCTATGATGAGCCAAAATAAGTCCAATGTAAGTTCTCTTTTTTTTTCCCCTTTTATCTTCTTAAATTTACAATGAAAAGATCCCACAAAAGGAGAAGGAATTTATACTTCTATACTGGGTGCTAATTTAATAAGAGTGCCTATATATAAGATGTTTGTTGAACAATACTGACATCATTTTCACTTTTTTGGGTCTGCTAAACTGAAGTAGTCTACACTTGGGTTTGTTTTTGCAAATTCGTTTATACATATAAATACTACATTAGTACTTTATTTATAACATAGAGGTGGCATGGTGTTGTATGAATTGACAGGAAAATCAGGAAGAAACCTTTGGGGAATTGCAGGATATGTTTGACGAAATGTTCAACAGTGATAATGGGATGTTTTGTTCTTCTCGGACTGGAACTCCTTCAATGTGTTCTACTTCATCGTCTACATCTTCCAGTGAGACCTTTTTTACCTTTTCCAACAAAAGAAGTTCAGGTGAAATGAAGTCGGGTAAAGGCGATTCTTGCCAATTCCAAGGATTTTGTGAAGGGGTTAGTTCCCGTTTCCTATTGCTGTACTAGTACTTTTATGGTCATTTAGGTTGTTACTAATTCAGTCTAGTATTATTGATACTTGAAGACAGGTGGAACATCTGGAAAAAGCAATGAAAGAGAACGGAGTAGGAGGAAAAATTCCAAGAGTGGACGGAAGCAATAGGATGGATGCTAAAAGGCAAAAGGTTCTATCATGAGTTTTATCAAATTAAGGATAGGGAAAATGAATAGAACTGCAGCTGCCTGCTTTAATCCATGTCTTTTTGTGGCTGTTGTTTCTTATTTAGGATCAGAGTTGTTTCTTTTTCACAGAAAGTAGGATCTTCTTTCAACTAGTGTATTGTAATTCTATCTACCTAAATGTCATTCAAAAGGTTTTCACCAGACACCAATTATCTTACCATTCCTAGTATTTCATAGCTTCAACTCTTTCTTCAATGCTTAAAAACATATTGTATTGCTTATTTGAATCAAATTATATTACTGTAGTATTTTCCAAAATGGAATATATTATCATTCACTTGCAAAAAGATTTAGAGAACGTTAAACATGTGTTTCAACTCTCACATACATATAGTAATACTACCTATGTATAGGTTTAATCTCCTTTTAAGTCTTTCCTCATCTTCTTTCATTTCTTATATTAATTAGGGCAAATTACAGAAATCACATACTTTTAAGGCAAAATTACAATTTATTCCTTAAAAGTTTATAATTATAGAAATCTCTCAAATGGATACAATAATATAAGCGCTAATACATTGCGAGATACATTAATCGTTAAGTAAGATACATTACATTTTATACATGATACACTAATCTGATGAGCGAGATACACTAATCTGATGCGTGAAAATGATAAATTTTGGAGATTTGTAAAATTTATAGGGGATAATGGTAATAAGTAAACTAAAAGTGGGATTTCTGTAATTTTTCCTAATTAGTATTACATAATCATATCCACTTTGAAAAGAGAGAAAATATTAAAAGGCCAACTAGTGGCCAAAAGGGCAACCCAAATCAACTTGGGTTTTGTTAGTTAAAGGTGAGACTAGAAAAGACAAAGGCAAGTTTAATAAAAGTCATCCAAATTCAATTTGTCAAAAAGTTGAATGAACTTGATTCTGTCCCACGCCATGCCTTTAATCAGCAACTTGTGCAACCATATGCTAATAAGATAACTCTGCTTTGTTATTGTGAAAGCGATATATATTTGTTCATTCTTAACACAAATATTTACCTTTGAATTCTAAAACTAAAGTTGGCTTTGTTAGAATACGTCCTATCTTTCAACTCGTAAACAAAATTAATCAAGTGCCAAATCGAATGTTGTCAATTAGGAAACCAAAAAAAAAAAGTACGCTTCTGCTCAACTTGCACTCATATAGATTATGAGGCTCTAATAATAGCATTAGCTTTATTTCCTAAATCAACTTTGTTCTTTTGTGTGCCTAATTACTTTTTTCAACTGAAGGATTATTAGGTTGCCAGCCGTTTAATGTGAGTAGTATTAGATTAGATGGACGCTATTATGTAATTTAACGTTCAACTAGCAAATGATGGATCCCACTCGTACAACAATTATTTATTGTCACGCACTTTTTAAAATAATTAGTGCAACTTGCTTTTGTTTAGAACTAATTTAATGAGTCTTTTATTTTATTTCATATTTTTGGTTGAAAAAGTAAATTATTGATTTCCTAGTTGACTGGTTTGCAACTTGTAAATATCGTGTAACATGTCGTATAGATTTATTTATCTAAGGTGCGCGCGCCAATAGTATAAATAATTTTTGCACCGTCAAAGTATTTAAATTTTTGGTTATAGTAGGTTAATTAGTTTATATTTTATATTACCAAATTAATCAATGATAAAATAATATTTATTGATGTAATGAAATATCATTTGCACACTAATTTTGAGATTTTTTTTTTTTTTTGAAAAAGTAGGTGTTTGGCAATCTGTAAAAGTGCTTTTAAATAGAAGTAGAAATAATTTTTCTGCTATTGGAAAGAAATAAAATATTTTTGCTTCTTAAAAAAAGCAAAAGCATAAGCAGAAAATTATTATTATATATATATATATATATATACCAATATTTCTCTTATTACTTAATTAACATATCTCATATGTTTGATTAAGTTCCATTTAATAGTTTTATTTTTTATTTTTATATACTAAATGCTATATTGTATTTTCCGTTTGCTTATTATTTTATTTATTATTTTACGTATTATTTTACAAAATTATAAAACAAGAAAAAGGTAACAAAAATATTTTTGTAAGATTAGGAAAGAAGAAAAAAATAACAATTAAAGATTTCTGCCCTTCAAAAAAATGTATAATATTGATTGAAAATTTGAATATGAACATTTTATTTTAATAAAAAGAAAAAATTAATTTAATTTTTGTAATAGATGTTTAAACTAGTTTCTCTCTATAAAATAATCATAATATTAAAAGTACATTAACACTTGCCCTTAATCGTAATTTGACTTTCAAAAGCACTTTTTAAAGAAGATTAGGCAAACACAATTTACTTATTAAAAACATTTTTCAAATAAATTAGTCAAATACAAATTGTTTTTTTTTCAAAAGCACTTTTTTCTGAAAAGCTATTTTAAAGAAATGCTTATGAAAATAAGCAGTTTTTAGCAGCAATGCAAAAGAGACTCTAAAACAAGTAAAATATTATGTGCGAGTAGCTCTAGTTTATGACTTTATTCTATTGTTACTAGTTATTAAATACATGAGTAAAATTTGAAAATAATCAAAAAATGAATCGAATCGGATCAGGGAAAAGCTAATCAGTTAAATTTAAAACCGAACTTAGTTGATTCCCATTAATTTTAAGCAAAATCAAATCAAGACATCATGAACCCCACCTTTGCTTTAGCCAAAAGAATTACATTGTAATAATGACTCAGAGTAACAAAAGGGGATGTAGCTCAAATGGTAGAGCGCTCGCTTTGCATGCGAGAGGCACGGGGTTCGATCCCCCGCATCTCCATTATTTTTGGAATTTTCTTCAACTTCCTAACTTTGTTGAAATCTGCCTCAAGTACAAACAAACACATGTATTACCAACAAAATTTTCTTCAACTTTCTACCTTTGTTGAAATCTGCCTCAAGTACAAACAAACAAACATGTATTACCAACAAGAGTTGTGGTGGAGTGATAAATACTTCTTCATCCTTAACAAAGAGGTCTCGGGTTCGAGTCCCTTGGGTACGGAGTCGTCTTTGTTAGGGAGCGCTTTACCTTCCAATATTGGACTTCCGGCGCGAATCCGAATTTAGTCGAACTCCAATGTGATACCAGACACCAAGTGGAAAACAAAAAAAAAAGAAGACATACACATGTATTACCAAATAGCAAAATGTCATACAAATCATAAATGGAACAGGTGTATGAGCTAGGGGTGTGCATTCGGTTTTATGGTTTGGTTTTACACTATTCGGTTTGGATTTTCGGTTTTTGGTTTTGTAAAAGTGTAACCCAATCCGATCCAAAATAAATTTGGTTTGGTTTGGTTTTTCTCTATTCGGTTTGGCTTTTTTCGGTTTGGTTATTCGGTTATGTCAATAATTAATAACATATATAACCAAAGTAATAATATTTAATCCCTTAAATATACTTTCTAATATAAATCATAAGTAAAACTTAAACACAATACTTATAAGTATACCTATTGTAGATGTAATTCAAACATAAAAGGGAGAAGACACAAGTACCCCCTAGACTATGACCGAAATCCCAGAGACACACCTTAACTAAATTAAGGTCCTATTACCCCCTTGAACTCATTTTTTTTGTAATTTTTTGTACACCTTTTGACTTATGTGGCACATCACGCGACTCCACGCAGTATATATATATAAAATTCGGTTTTTTTCGGTTTTTATCTTTTAAAATCCAAAACCAAACCAAAAAACCAAACAAAGTAATTTATTAATCCAAAATCAATCCGAAAAACCAAAAAACCAATCCAAATAAAATTTCGGTTTGGTTTGGTTTGGTTATTCGGTTTAATCCGAATAGTGCACACCCCTAGTATGAGCTCATCACTTACAACAGCTGGAATCAGTCAATCAGAACACCAAAATTTGAGATTAATAGTGTAAGATCCCGTTTGTGTTGGTTTAAAAAAAGTAACTTTTAAGTTAAAAATAAAAAGTCAAATTGAAATGACTTTTGAGTCAAAAAATAAAAAGTAGGGGGAGACCTACTTTTGGTTTTTGACTTATTTTAAGTTATTTTTTATATTTGTCAAACACTTCCAAAAGTAAAAAACTGATTTAAAAATAGGTATTTTTTATATTTGTCAAACACTTTCCGAAATTAAAAACTGATTTAAAAATAGATTTGACAGACTTTTAAGCCAATCCAAACACCCTCTAAGATAGTGCTGGGTTGATCAACCATGTGGTAAAAGAGTTGATCAATCAATCCCCCTCAATGTAATGAATAGACTGACTGGTTTATTCATGCTCTTCGCTGCCAAAGCAATCTGGTAACCCCACTTCACTATCCAAGACTAATTCACTTATCCAGTTTTGGGCTAAAATTAATTCTTTATCCATGGGGTAGGTTCAAAACCTTGATCACTAGATTGAATCTTTCAATTTGGGTTAAAAAGTGTCAATATTTATTAAATCAAAATTTGACCTAATTTTCCGACAAACTTAATGGGTCCGTCCCTGCTGAACATTATGATTGCTTTTGTTCTAATAAGGTTGTGTTGTCGCACCTAAGGCCATTTCGTTACTGTCTTTAAGGAAAAATGTTTACTATTTTCGAGATGCATAGATTGTTGTGTTCTGAAGGAGGAGTATTGTCTTTGGATATAAATAGCTACGGCTGTATTAATCCTAAGAAATAAAAAAAAAGCAAGATGAATTAAAATGAACATCAATCAAGAAAAAGATAGTATTGTAACTTGAAATTTGCACCATTGAAAAAATTATTCTTACCGTTTATTGTTTTCAACATTGTTATTTTTGCTAAAAAATTAAAATTGGTTGTTTTCCCAAATTTAGTTATCGGAATTAAGTTAGCTTTGTTTTCCCAAGTTTGGCTTAATTAATAAGGTGGTGATGACATGCAACCCATTTTAAAAAATTAATAACTAGCTTTACACGTATGTTGCTATATTATATATGAAATTTTTATGTAACTATCTCCTTATTATAATATTTGAAATAAATACTAATTTTGTCTTTCTTTATTTTTGATAATTTTGTCACTTGAAATTATCACGACAACTATTTACCATAAGTCATTAGTATTATGCCGCTGTACAGCTAAGGACGAATACATGAATTACTTGTGTGATGAGTAAATCAGCCAAATGATACGCG